ATATGTGAATGAACTTAATCGCCAGAGCAAATGGAAGAGAGAACCAAACTAAAATAAGTTAATGTCATTAAAACCCTCAAAATAAAGTTAGTTAAGGCAATTAAAACATTTTTGTTTTTCAGTTCCAGCTGCTCTGAGCAGTAGCTGGCCATCCAGTCTGCCGTTACATGGTGGTCGTTGGTCGTTTAGGTTTTTTTTTTTATCTCCGTCCTGGGGGCTCTTGCCTCTATCTATTAGTGTATTTTTATTTTAAAGTTGTTTTTTATATAANTATCTCCGTCCTGGGGGCTCTTGCCTCTATCTATTAGTGTATTTTTATTTTAAAGTTGTTTTTTATATAATGGTGAAAGTTGCTGCAAATGTTGTTCAAGTTTCTCCAGAGGAGCCGAAGGGGCTGGGGGGCTTCGTTCACTGCCGATGTGACCCTGCGCCCTGTCTTCCTTTCTCTAGTCATTCTTCTGCGTCTTCTGTTGCTTCTGCTTGCTGATAACTCTCTTTATTTGACACAAGCATTACAGCACAGCGGTTGTCAGCCGTAACAACAACCACCGCTGCCGCTGCAGCGTAGAGAGAAGGCTACAGCAGCAGCAGCAGCACGCTGCTGCTGCCGCTGCGCCTCGGGAAATAACAGCTTAAGGACCGACACAGCGCTGCATTCATTCTGCAGCGGATGTTCACTTGAGAAGGCTTTGTGCGTAGGAGAAGACAGCTCCTTTTTCTGACCTGTGCCGCTCGCTGTAGCAGCTGCAGCAGCTGCGGTAGCAGCAGCGGGGGTGCTGCAGGGGCACACGGCGGACTGTCTGTCTGTTCTGTTTCTTCTGCCGTTGGATCAAATAGCAGTCAGACGGAAATGGCCCTCTTGCGTCTAGGTTTGCTGCTGCTNTTTCTTCTGCCGTTGGATCAAATAGCAGTCAGACGGAAATGGCCCTCTTGCGTCTAGGTTTGCTGCTGCTAGCGCTAACGCAGCAGCAGCTGCTGCAGCATGCGCCCTGCAGCGCCATAGCTGTCCACACGAAGTCGGCGGCAGCAGCAGCAGGAGCAGCAGCAGCCCCGAGCTGCAGCTCTGGCTTGTTAAGGGGGCCTCTTCCGCTGCATCTTGCGTGCCGCATGCAACGGCTGAAGCCACAGCAGCAGCAACACCAGCAGCTACAACCATTCACCGCATTCGTACGGCCCCTCGCTACGGGTGCTGCGGCACAGCGGACAGCAGCAGCAGCATCCCTTGCTGCTACAGCAGCAGCATTGGAAGCAACCGCAACGAAGGTCGCCGCACTGCAGCATGCTGCTGATAGCACAGCAGCAACAGCAGCGCTACCAGGGACAGCAGCAGCAGCAGCAGCAGGACAAGAGCTGCCGTTTCGCATCGGGCATGGCTACGACATGCACCGCCTCTCTACGGATCCCAAAGCCATCACAGGTCAGCTCTTGCTGGTACTGTTTCTGCTGCTGCTGCTGCTGCTGCTGCTGCTGTCGTCACGTGTGTTTATGCTTGCTGGCTATCAGTCGCCGCTGCTGCGTGCATGGCTGCTGCTGCCTTACTGCGTTAGTTGCTGCTCCGTTGTCATGTGCTGCAGCAGCTAGTGTTGTTGCTGCATGCTCTTGACTTTCTTGTCGCTGCGTTCATTAGATAAACAATTTATGTTTCAACAGTTCGCTATTGATTGCTGATAGTGACTAATTTGATTCTTTATATAATAAAATACAATAAAAAGTAATAAACAAAATAATTTATTTTACAGGGGTGTTCTCGTCTCCTTCTTATCATTATTAATTATTTTCCTATTGAGTAATTAAAAAATAAAAATTTTTGTTTTGTATATATTTCGCTTCGCTCGCCACCACACAGCCGCTTTTTATGTTTATGTGTTTTCTTTTACTACCAGGACTGTTGTGGCCCCATATATTATGCATCTGTGTATATACTTATACATATATATATATACATATATATACATTATATATATAACCACAAAAGTATAATTAATATACTAATATATTACTAGTATATTAATATGCACCTTATGCCCTGGCTGTTGTTAGGTCCCCTAGTGCTATCGGGCGTCTCGTTCGCCTCAGAGGCAGCAGAAGCAGCAGCAAAAGCAGCAGCAGCGAGCCGGCAACAGCCAAACACAATAGCAGCTGCAGCAGCAGCTGCAGCAGCTGCTGGTGCTGCTGCATTTTCAAGCGGACGCCGGCTGCTGTCAGGCGCCTCTCTAGGCCTTCGGCGCCTATTGGGATACGGCACAGGCACCGCTAGCAGCAGCAGCAACAGCAGCAGCAGCAGCGGCAGCAGCAGCAGCAATTTGGGCTTCGGTGTGATAGCTCACTCGGATGGAGACGTGGTGCTGCATGCAGCAGCAGACGCCATATTTGCTGCATCAGGAGCAGCAGATATCGGGCAACAATTTCCTGACACAGCAGCTGAAAACAAAGGGCGAGATTCGAGGGACTTCGTTGCAGCAGCAGCAGCAGCTGCTGCTGCTGCAGGGTACGCGGTAGCGCAGCTGGACGTGACCCTCTTGCTGCAGCGCCCCCGCATCAGCAGCAAGAAGCAGCAGATGATTGAAAACTTAGCAGCAGCCCTCGGCATCCGCAGCAACCAAATTTCAATCAAAGCAAAGACAGGAGAAGGTATCGGGCCTGTGGGCCGCAGCGAGGCAGTGGAGTGCCACGCGATGGTGCTGCTGCAACGGAAGGGTTAACGTACACCAGGCGCTGCGCAGCAGCAGCAGCAGCAACAGCGCGAGCGATCGCAACAGCAACAGCAGCAGCTTTCTTATACCCCTTCAGCGGCTACCAGTAGCGGGTAGATACCGATGCAGCTCCCCCTGAGTAGGCTGCAGCAGGAGCAGCAAGTGTAGCTGCTCAGCTCAGACGACAGAGAAATTTGGCATTGGCCATTGTAACAGGGGCTGTGCGGTTTCTGTTGCTGCTCTTGCTGCTGCTGCTGCTGCTGTTGCTGCTGCTGTGGGTGTTGCCACTATTTTACTCCAGGAGTTGTTTGGGGGACGGCAGCTGCGGCCACTGCTAGCAGCCTCTGCTGCCTGGTTGCTATCGATGCCGTTTTAAAATTTTTAGATGTTTTAATTTGATTTTAACTCTCTAGCGAGAACAAAGAAGAAACGCCTAAGGTTTTGTTGCGGCAGCACCACCAGTGAGTGCTGCTGTTGCAGCGGGCACACGCCCCTGTGTACCGCGCTACTTCTCTCGTGTCAGCAGAGCTTTTTTCTGTATTTTCTGTTTAGACAGGTGAAGGGGGCTAGCAGGAGATCAGTACAGAAAGAGAGCACACCAGCACATCGAAATAGTTGTCTATTTATCTTATCAGCTCAATTGAGGCACTAAATCAACATATCCTAAACACAGCAGCAGCGGCCCCCGTAGCATCTCCAGGTGGACCTGCTGCTGTTTTTGTTGCTGCTTGAAAGCGCGAAAGTAAGAAAATGCAGAGACAGAGCAGGTAGCCTCCTGCACTGGCCGCTGCTACAGCAGCAGCAACAGCAGATGCCGCTGCTGCTGGTGGTGCTAAAGGGCGTTCGTGCGTCTTAGTGAAAAAAGTAGGGACTGTCGAGGACCTGGCGTATGTCCAGCTGTCCCCTAGCTGGGGGCGGCGGGAGCTGCGCTGCCTGCTGAGGAAGCCTGAATTTAACGTTCTCATAGAGGGACTGGAGGGGGTTGTGTTGATAGAGGGCAACGAACTGCCGTCTAAGGGCTACTGCCAGGGTGTCTATACACCCCGCATGGGCCCAGTAGGAGTCGTGTACGGCGGCCATGTCCATGCGACAGGTGCCTATACACTCCAAGGCCGTCAGCATCATGTGTGCAGCATCGAGGCTGTGGATGAAGTTCGGGGGGAATCCCAGCCGCTGCTTCGACCTGCTGACAGGAGCACTGTCTCCGGAGACGTGCAGCGTGTGTCGCTGCAGCGCAGAGCGGATCTGCTGCTGCTGCAGCGAGCGGTAGGGCTGTTCACACAGCAGTCCAATGGCAGGGACCTCCCATGCCACGGGGACACCTGCTGCTGTACATACACCTGAAACGGCATCCAACCACTTCTTTGTCTGCATTGCACCCCTAAATAACTCCCCAATAGACTGCAGTACAACGCGAGACAAGAAGCCCCCCAACTCCCGCAGCACCTCAGGCCGCACCTGCCCCCCTAGTAGATCCTCCAGCTGCGACAGCACTTGGTCCCTCGCTCCGAGTGCAGTTACACCGTAGCAGACTGTCATCACTGTCTGCTTCACCACGGACCGCTGCAGCACTCCATGCTCTATGCATAAACGAGCAAGCTCACGCCGCCGTTCCTGCAGCTGCGGCTGTTGACGCTGCTGCCGCTGCTGCTGAGCAGCAGAACCAGCGTGCTGCTGCTTCCNTCCTGCAGCTGCGGCTGTTGACGCTGCTGCCGCTGCTGCTGAGCAGCAGAACCAGCGTGCTGCTGCTTCCGCTTCCTCCCTCTGCCCTGCTGCTTCTGCCCGACCTCCGCCTCTACGCTGTCTGCTGCAGATGCAGCACCACCAGCCGCTGCTGCAGCTGCTTCTGATGTGTCTGTGCAGCCACTGGCAACGCGGTGTACATTCTGCTTAACCACCTGGAGCACGAGAGAGTATACGTCTTGGGGTGTCTCCGCAGGGACAAGATTAACTGCAGCTCCCCCGCGAAGATCTCTATTAAGGGCTGCATAGTGCTGCAAGCCGTTGCACGTGCCATCCAGGTGTACAGGCAGCTTGCTGTAGAAGGCTGGAGGATCTCCTGAGCGTACAGCTGCTGCGATTTCCAAGATAGCAGCAAGTGCCTGCCAGGGCTCGTCTGCTGCACCCCAGAATTGTTTGTGCTGCAGCGGCTCTTCTGCTGCTGCTAGGATCTGCTCCATTCGCGTGTCTGTCCACCTGCGTCGGTCTTCGAAGGATACTTTGTTGTGGCCAAAGAGATTCGCCAGGTGTATGCGCAGCCAACGCCAGCCGCTGTCGCCTAGCGGTTTGCTCCGGGCAAACCGCAGCAACGCGCGGGAGACGTCGTCTCCCATGTGATTGAGGTGGGGGGGCAGCGGGTAGCAACGGCCCCTGAAATCGATGTTGTGAGGGAAGTAAAGCGCAGAGGAAACGGCGAAATTCTCAGCTGTCTCCAGCTTCAACAGAAACGAAGGTCGCTCGCTCTTCATCCGAGTCTCCTGCTGCATCAGATGTCGCATGAGCAACGACCGCTTCTCACTGCTGCTGCTAGTGCTGGCGCTGCTCGTGGTGGTGGTGCCGCCCTGCTGCTGCTGCTGCTGCTGCTGCTGCTGCGCCTCATGCTGCTGCAGCAGGTCGTCGATGGGCACAGAGTTGCGCGAAGGCATTTTCCCTAGGCTCTCGCCAGCTGCCCATGCTGCCTGCAGCACGTGCAACAGCTCCTTGTTTATCTGCCAGGGCACAGACCCCAATAAGGAAACAGCACTGCGAACAGTAGAAGTGTCATACACACGAAAGTCTTGACATGCCTTTGCGCGGGGGCCCCAACCTAAGTATATCTCATTGCCTT